TGTTTCACATAGTCTGGGAAGTCAGGAACGGACTTGCCTCTATATTCATTTTGCCAAATTTTTGATAGGAGTCATTTTACAGAGCTGAAAACTGATTTTTTAAATACTTTGGTCAAAAAAATCATGTGTAGCATTATACACGTATTGAGAAGTGAAACTTTTTAAAAACTTTTCCCTTCCCTCATACAGCTTTTAGACTTAGTACATGAGTCGGGGTAAAGACGAAGAGCCACACAAAAAGGAGATGCACATCTATAGTGACGTCACAAGGGTATAACCGCTTGACAATAATAGGCAATCCTCTTTACTTATAATCCTTGGTTTGTGTCAATCGTTCTTCGTCTGTCATTGTCATTGGCTCGCTTTCACCTTCTCTCTACAGTCTACGTTATATTTTCCTTTTCGCTCGGGTAACGAAATTTTCCAAAACGTGACGTTACGTGATGCGTCTTTCAAATCACTCTCCATGTTCTCGTCTAAATATCAGACCGCCGCCTAAGAAGATTTACTTCAAAAAGTGATAAAAAGTTTGAGATATATACAGGGTGTCCTGGATAAGGATGCAGTCTACAAGCATCTTGGTAACCATAAGAGATACAGGGTTGGTTAAATTTGGAAAAAGTTGCGCATTACTGAGCTCAGTCGCGTCATGTTTTGATATTTTGGAAATTCCGAATGATTCCAAAGATATCCATGAAAAACCGAATTTTGCCGAAATCTTTTTTATTTTTTCTGACTTTATTTGAAATGCGATATCGCAAAATAAACTTCACATTCTCATTGCCACTGCATGATAATGTTATTAGATTTTTGATCAGACGTTTCGTTTCTCCGCGATCATCATCAACTTTGTTTTTTCAAATGGTCGAGTTTTTTATTTTATGGCTAATAAACTCTACTTTTTATTCTAAATCCAATGACATATAAAGCTCATAATTCCAGGAATATTTATTAATTTCCACTAGTGGTCCCATTAACGGGCCTCTGGAGATCGCGGAGGCCCGTTTATGGGACCACTAGTGGAAATTATTATTCCTGGAATTATGAGCTTGATATGTCGTTGGATTTAGAATAAAAAGTAGAGTTTATTGGGCATAAAATTAAAAAAAATAATCGACCATTTGAAATAACAGAGTTGATGATGATCGCGAAGAAACAAAACGTCTGATCAAAAATCTAATAACATGATCATGTAGTAGAAAAAAAGTGACAATGAGAATGTGGAGTTTATTTTGCGATATCATTTCAAATAAAGTGAGAAAAAAATAAGAACGATTTCGTCAAGAGATCCTGTTGTCCAGTGATTTTGCAATTCATTACGAATCACGATACGTAACACGATCCTAATGTTAATTTTAATTAGTCCTCGCAAATAAGGTGCGCAAATTTTTGTCTGCGAATTTTTCCCAACTTTAAATTTTTCATCCAAGTTTTCCCAACTTTCGATGTATTTTAGAAACTTTGGGGGGGGCGTCGCCCCCCCCCCATGGCTCCGTCCATGAACTTGATTATTAAATGAATTTCGAAAGTAGATGATTAAACGTGTTATACAAAATCCTAATTTTTTCGGAAACGGCTGATTTAATCGAAACAAGAGCACCTTTTTTGAAGAGAAATGAGCAAAGTATTTAAAAAATCAGCTTTCAGCTCTGTAAAATGACTCCTGTCAAAAATTTGGCAAAATGTACCTATATGGTGGCAAGTCCGTGCCTGACTTCTCAGACTATGTGAAACATCTACTGTAGTATGGTTTTATGAGTCTTTATGGCCAACATAAAATATTAAAACTTCATTAAATTATACAAGTCGGTTCAAAAGTTAGAGCCAAAAATGTTAATCGCCAAGTACTCTTTTGGGGCTCTGTATCTCGGTTAAGGGGCACTTTAGGATTTTTTTTTTATAACAAAGTAGGGTTATTTTGACCCCTCCTATACGCTCCCGAGAGTATGCCATATACTTACCGGACACCCTGTATACCTTACGCATTATAAACCTCGACGCTATATAATGACCAACTTCTCTACCTAGGTATATAATGTACTATTGTCTTAAAGCGGTCCATAATTTGAACTTAATTGTTGTCGCCTCGACACAAAAGTGATCCATTATGTTTCTAGGACCATAAAAATCTTTATGTATGCCCGTTCTTATAATTAATTTTGCGTATTCTTCTCGCTAGATGGCAGCGTCAACGACTAAGTTCTCAAGAGCATAATTTATTCGTTTTAAATTTTTTGTTCAATATTATCACGGCTTTGACTTGTGTGACAGAAATCTTGGGTCCGTTTATTCCAAAAATCATAGTCCAATTAAAGGCGATTTTCAGCCTGGAATGATTATTATTTGGTTATAACCAATGCATTTCCGCCGTCGCGGTTTTAACCAAAGTAGGGGAAGTTGTGGCGTCACATATCAGCTGATTTGCTTTTGGTATTTACCACTTATAACCGATTATAACCCAGCTTTGGACTTGGGTTAATCTTTTGGTTACAGCTTTTTGATGTTATTGTTATTATTTTTGGAATTTGTATTGGTGTTTTGTGATTTTGCAGTTGCGTTGTAGCCTGGCACAATGGAAGAAGTATACATTCACTCACTCACTGCAATTCACCATGTTTAGATCGAGGTTTAGATCATCCCCAAAGAAAATCTGTTCGATAAACGAGAGTAACGAGAGATTCAGCTCCATTTTTTGTACCTAAACAAAAAACTATTGTTGAAATGAAAAAACAAATAAGAATAATAAACATAATCCTACACTGCTATAACCAAATCATTTCAGCGGTCAGTTCCTTGGGTTATGATTCTTGAATGGTGGGGGGCTATGACGTTACCCTTGGCTGTCAAAGTTGTCAACCAAAAGAATAACCACGGTATTTACCGATAAATAATCATTCCAGGCTGAAAATCGCCTTAACACAACCATAATCTATTCCACTCTACTATACACTCTGACACTAATTACTTCACTAATTAACTCAAACAACTTAACTCTTTACAACTTTTACAAAATTCACCAAGTATCTAAATCGTATCACAGTCAATCTTAAAACTTGAAACTATTAACTAATACCGGTCTTTATATATCCTTATTTCATTCTTGTAAAATCCAGAATAACGAGAATAACCATGATAGCTCTTTTTCTCGAATGCCACTGTAAAATCTAGAATCAGCTGTCAAATTCTGTACACCCTGGCGCTTCCGCCAGATTTTCGCAACAATATTGTAAATTAAATTATTAATAAATTAAGGACTATGTTTTTGAACTAAAAACGGGTGTTCCGGTTGAATCTGTTTCGAATGTTTAACAGTCCTTGTGTTCAAGAACTATCCAATGTTGATCCAATTGGTTCATACTCTGTAGTCTAGAGTAGTTGGGAGGATTTTCGAACTATTAATTTTTGTTCTGACATTGAGGTTAGATTTATTTGCAAATTTCCATATTTACTTTGATTGTTTGTATTTTAAGTAGTTCTGTTATTAGAAAGGAAGTGCTCCGGACAAGGGCCATGTCGCCATTTATTATAGGAGTGACATTTTATCATTTTGACATTAAGTAAACACAACATTAAATATCAAACAAAGTCGTGAATTATAATTGTGGAAGGTAATATTGCAGTCGCTTGGAGATAAAATGTTGTATGCCATTTAGCCCAGAAGGTCTTTTTGTGCTCGATTGTAGGCCACCGCTACTCGTCGGCCTTCAAACGTCAAGCTCAGCACAAAAAGACCAACATCTTGGACTAATGACATAAATAACTATTGTTGTTCAGTTCACCATAAATAAAAGATTTATTTTATATTTTAACTTGGGGTTGGCCATAGATCTATTTTAATAGAGTTCCCTTTTGCATTTTGTTGGGGGGACAAACCGAATTTTAATTTGCGAAATTGGAGATGGGCTAATAATAATTTATTGCACATCAAACGGAAATTATAATTATTGGGAAATTCGCATTTTCAAAAAAACGAAAAAGCCTCGCAATAAATTCAATACGTTCAAATAAATGAAAGACCCGTTCAGTCATATTTTTTTTTATTTATCTTCATCACAAAGGCGAAAACGTTATCGAACCCTTTGCATTTTTCAAACAATCACAGCGCGGTGCGATTGACTTTTTTTTATTTATTTTTTGTTCAAATCGAATATCAATAATACTCCAATAATTGTCTGAAATAGTTGTTTATTGCTGATATCATTTGTAATATAATTTTGGAACGTCCACATTCGATTTTTGAAATTGGTAAGAGCATCAACAACATAACAATACCAAAGGACATGGCACGGATTAAATGGAAACTAAAGGCTAGTCGATTTTTTTCAAATTTTGATATGTTGTAGAGTGAGGGAAAAGAAACAAAAGTTACCATGGGCCCATTGTGGCCCGACCAATAGGAGACCCACTAGATGAGTTTAAAGAACACTTTAAAAACATAAAAACATATAAGTAAAACATAAAAACACACCATCTACACTTTATTCATACTACTATAACTATGCCTTAGAATTCTATTATGTTATGGATACATCCTTTTCGCGAAAAAAAGACAATTGAAAATCGCGAATTTGTCTGGGGATGGCGGCAGGGAAGTGATATCTGTCGATATAATTTTTTGAAAGATATTTTCTATCTCTTTAGGGGGCCCTTCCTTCTTCTTGCGAGGGGGGGGGGAGGCATTAAAATCTTGGGTATTTTTACCAAACCAACTTTTTAGCTAAAAAGACAACAATATAAAACATGAAAACCTTAGTAATTTGCTATTTTCGGTCATTTCCAAGCTTTCTTTAAACTCATTCAGTGGGTCTCCTATTGGTCGGGGCACAATGGGCCCATGGTAACTTTTGTTTCTTTTCCCTCACTCTGCAACATATTAAAATTTTAAAGAAATCGACTGGCCTTTATTTTCCATATAATCCGTGCCATGTCCTTTGTTAATTCTAAATAAATGAAAATGGACCTGTATGGCAATTTATATCATTGGATTTTTTTTGTTCCAGTTTTTCGTCAAGGCGATTCTGGGAAATGCTGGTACGCGGTGATGTCCGGATCTCTAAGCGTAAGGGTGTCACATCCAGAAGCAGATTTGAAGGTAATTGTAAACAAAGTATATTAGAAAGTTTTGATTTCAAACGTGCTGATTTACTGGCGCTTAAAATATTATATTGTCTGTTCAAGTTAATAGAGAAGGTTCGAATTACAAGAATTAATTTTCGATTGGGATCATCATTAAATTTGTATATAAAAGCAACACAAGTAGGCAGGTACCTACCTGAATAAAAATAAAATTTTAATAAGGAATCCAAACCACTTGACTTTGCCATTAGAGGCCATATTGAAATTTTTTGAGTGGTCGTTAAATAATGTCAACGATGTCAGATTAGTGTCATATTGCCTATTGAGTAAAAGCGTCGGGTTACGAAAATAAATTAGGGCGAAATTAATTTTCTTTATTTTAATAAATTTTGCAATTAGCCTTTTTTAGGTTAGGTACATATAATAAACTTAAATATTGAGTCCTCTTGATTATTTTACGCTTTTTAAATTACATTACAACGGACAGGTTTTTTTGATTCGCTCATAAAGTTTATATCAGATAAATACTGTAACTCCCATCGGTAAACACTCGTTGCCCACCTCATCGACAGTTGACAGGCGACACATGGCAGAAGCCGTCGTATTTCGCTTTTCTAAGTAATCACAACATGTGTATAATTTAGAGCGAACAATGTTGCCTTGCAATTAGTGGATTCGAGAAATGCATTTTATTGGTTAGTAATATAGTTTCCGGTTAAGTTTCCATCCAAACATCGAACATTCTTGAGCAACAGCTCAGCTGTTAAATAATAAATCACCATATTCCAACGGTAACGACCGTTGGGAATTCGTAAGCCCTTCCATTTCGCCATATGCGTTGCCTTGCTGTGGCAAGGCAGTAAGTTTGTTTGCTCGAAGAATGGATCGACCCAAAGGACCAAAACTCGGAAGTTGTAAACCCACTTCAAATTGATTGCCTCGGGTCATTTCTGATTTGTTTGCTTTGAAACGGAAGAACGTTCGATTTTTAAGGAAAGGAACGTCTAAGTACGTAATAATTTTAGTTTTAGCTCAGTGAATGCAGTTTTTTTTTCGTGTAAATTCAGACTCAACGGTATGCATCTCATCATCCCACATCAATTATTGATCTCTTGTTGTTCTGCCCTTCACAACATTTTCAGTTTGAAAACTTCAACTTTTTGTCCATCTACACAATAGATTTCCATCATTCGATATTAACAATGGTTGATCCACCTTTGCTTGCTTTTGGTCTGCTAGATCGAGTTCAGCTATGTAAATCCGGACTATATTAATTTTATCTTGGTGGATGTTTTGGTAGAAGACTTCCATGCTATTATGAAAACCAATACTTTGGTAATATCAATTATTTTGTCTATTTTTGAGGCTTCTGTATAATAACACTCACGCCTTTTCAGAAAGGTAAGAACAATATAAATTATTGAGTATTCCTAGAAGCGCAATTATTTTTGTAGTAAACACCGGAGTATAGTTTGTAACTCTTTCCACGAAAGGTAATCGAAAATTGGAAAAATCGGAATTTCCCAGTATTGCAATGTTATCTTTGAAGCTTTTGTTGAAAACAATTTAGAATAGAGTGCAAACTCAACGTTGTTTATTTTAAAATTGAATACTCTGTCTAATAAATTATTTTTGAAAAATTATATTAGGTTATTTCGAACAAGTTTACATGTATTAATAGTTTCATTTCGCGCTATCTTGTGTAGCGAACAGAAGTAATTACAGGATCGATTGGCGCAATGAACTAAATACATTCCTTGACAAATGCCCCCTTTGTACAATTAGAGCTTATTTTGGTATTAATGATCAAAATGCGAATAATTGATTATTGTCGATTGATAGAAGCGTTACATCCGATGTTCAGATAGTTCACTTCGACATCTGGTTTATCGAATTAGCACCATAATTTCCCCAGTGATCCGTGTGAATCCAACTAGTACTTTATTTTGTGCCAAGATGATTGATTGATCAATGTGACCAAATGACGGCAACAAGGAAAACCATAAGATAGTACAAATTTTTTTTATGTTATATAGGGTGTCCTTTTTAGATAAACTTACACATTTTGCAGGTAAATAACTCGCAAACGAAAAAAAATATAGAGATGCCGTTTATTCTGGAAAAGTAAGATTTTTTTTTAAGTTTTTTTTTTCACACCATTGCCAAATCTTAAAATTTGCTGAAATTTGAAGAAAAATACTTCAAGCAATCAGAAGGAGTTCAAACTTTCAGGATTTATTGAGTAGGGTCGTTTTATCAAAAAACAACAAACCGCGAATGGATCTCAGGCTCAGAAATGGAATTCTGAAGTTTTTCTCACTTAGATGCAAAAAAATCGATAGTTAATTTGTGTTTAATACTTTCAATAACTAATTAAACAACGACAACAAAGTGCAATTTATACGATGCAATTTCAAGATCAATACATATATACATTTTTGTGAAGTGGAAGAATCAGGCTTTGTGACGATGACAAATATACAGGGTATCCCAAAAGAACCGGAACGGTCAAATATCTCGGCAACGGCGTGACATAACGGTATGAAACTTGGTATACGGGGGTTTTGAATAGTGCCGGATCTAAAAATGATATTTGCAACGTTGCTGGTTTTATATTTTTTCCGATAAATCTCTCAAATTTATTTTTTTAAATGCAAAGCTACAGTAATTTTTCTTTTAAAATGTTGGTCAAACCAAAGTGTTTTCAATCCTAAAATATCAAATTTTTCTTTTGTGCTTTTTAAAAGATATGGCAATACTGCATTTTCATTTAAAACAACTGAAATGGTAAAATATCTTAGCAACGGCTTAATACAACGTTATGACTTTTGGTATACAGGGGTTTCTAAAAGTGCCAGATCTAAAAGTAATATTGGCAACGTTGCCAGTTCCACAATTTTTCCGATAAATCTCTCAACTTTAGATTTTTCAATGCAAAACTATGGTAGTTTTTCATTTAAAATGTTGGTCAAGCCAAAGTGTTTTCAATCCTAAAATATCAAATTTTTCTTTTGTGATTTTTAAAAGATATGGCAATACTGCATTTTCATTTAAAAGAACTGAAATGGTAAAATATCTCAGCAAAGGCTTAAAACAACGTTATGACATTTGCTATACAGACGGTTTTAGAAGTGCCAGATCTAAAAATAATATTTGCAACGTTGCCAGTTTTATAGTTTTTCCGATAAATCTCTCAACTTTGGTTTTTTAAATGCAAAGCTATGTTAGTTTTTCATTTAAAATGTCAGTAAAATCTAAATGTTTTTAAGTCTATATTATTAATTTTATCTTTTTCACATTTTGAAAGATATGGCAATGATGCATTTTCATTTAAAAGAACTGGTACGGTGAAATATCTCACCAATGGCGTAACAGAATGTAATATTATCAGGAATTATTTAGTTAAGTGTTTAAATAATAAACCTTAGAAATTTCAGAAAATTTTTATTAAAGTTCTGATTTTTTAAAAATATTTTAAACACTCAAAAATCCATAACTCGAAAACTAAACAATCATTGGAATTTATACTTGTGAGGTAGAACAGCATCGGAAGAACTCAAAAACCGTGTGCGACTTTTTGAAAAGTTTAATATTTTAATAAAAGATTTTTTAAGTAAATACTTATACTTATTTATTTCCACTAATTTGTAATACACTTTTTACATGTTTCGCTACAATGAAGCTACAGTGTAGCGGAACATGTAAAAATTGTATTATAAATTAGTGGAAATAACAGTTATTTATACACCAAGTGAGTTAAATGAATTTTTATTCATGAGAAGAAAGTTTAACCCACGAGCCCTAGCGAGTGGGTTAATTTTCTTCGAATGAATGAACATTTTAACTCACGTGATGTATACAAAATTTTATCCCATTTTGTGGAGATTGAAAAAATAAACTACAAGGAAAAATGAGAGAGAGTGAGTTAAAAATATTTTAAATCATTGAGGTTTCAGATTTTTAGTTGGGCAGAGTGACTTAAAATGCCGAGAGTGAGTTAAAATGTTTTTAAATCACTGAGGTGATAAACGTCTACTTACCTTTATTGTTTTGCGTTCAATAATGTCATTTTTAAACGTCAAAATGGGATAAATAAATATAAATATTTATTTAAAAATCTTTCATTAGATCATGGATTTCCACCTAGTAAAATTGTTCAATATTTATTTTTTTCTTAAATTTTGACATGTCATTGTATGATATCCAATTGCTCGGTAATGGACGTCCTTGGTCAAATATCAAATAGATATTCTAAAAGACAACTAAATTACGAATTATTTAAGACCTTTTTGGACCCGACACATTTTAAAAACTTCTAGAAATTTTAACTTTACATTAAATTTTTATTTGCTTTATCCTAGCAATATTCCTATTAACATTTCTACAAAAACTACTAGGTCGTCGGAAAGCAGATAGCTTGACAAAAGTAAAAGACTTAACGTATTGTGTTCAAAAATATTAGACATTATTTGCCAAGCAATATCCAAGTCTGTAATAACTCACGTATAGTATTATAGTAAAATTTCATGTCAAGTTGAAATTTTTAGATTTTTTTAAAATTTTCTATTTTACCACTTGGGTCCAAAAAGGTATTAAATGATTCGTAATTTAGTTATCTTTTAGGATTAGATATTATACGGGCCACAGGGACATGTCAGAATTTAAGAAAAAAAATCAAAATACAAAAAAATATTGAAATTTTGAAAAAGTCGAAACACAGTTTTAGAATTATCCCGCAGCTGTTCTACCTCACTAAGTATGAATTCCAATGATTGTTTAATTTTCGAGTTATGGATTTTTAAGTCTCGAAAATATTTTATGAAAATCGGAACTTTAATAAAAAAAATTCAGGAAAGTCCATTATTTAAACACTTATCTAAATAATTTCTAATAATATTACATTATGTTACGCTGTTGGTAAGATATTTCACCGTTCCAGTTCTTTTAAATGAAAAATAATTATTGCCATATCTTAAAAAATTCGATTTTTTTTTTTTTTCTAATCCTAGACTTTGG